TGAAGGCAAGTTGTTCCACTGATTAATTATTCTAACTGTTTTTTTTTTTTGTTTTTTTTTTTGGTAGTGTAAAGTCAGCAGCATTCTCTAGCATCACCTTCAAATAGTCAAAGTTTCTTCCAAATAATCCTAAACTCTTCAAATTCACATTTATTTTGAATGGATTATTTCATTCACATAGCATGTGTGTCGTAACAAATTTACAGAATACTAAAATTAAAAGCAGGACTTAAGTTTGAGGCAATAAAATAACAGCAAGTGCAAAAAAAAAAAAAATACACGTACATTTTTATGGACCTAATTACAGGTGCCAGCACGGACAAATTTCTTTCGACATTTCCCACCAATCATGCAAAATTGTCTAAAGCCTGTATTTTTCCTTCAGTTAATGACAGCAGGAAAATGATTTTGTCATCAAGCTGACCCAGACTTGGTACAAAATGTCAAGACTGTGAAATCCACCTTCACAGTTGCAGCTGTCAACTTCTCTTTTTAAAAAAAAAACATATGTTCTGGTCATCCCTGATCAAGCCAGCAAGTTTTCTTCTGTAGGAGACGGAATAGGATTCATTTCTTTACATTTTCTTTTACAGCTTTAGGGGTAAGATAGGCAAGGCCCTTAACAGAGCACCTGCGCTTGTAATTGCTAATGGGAGGTTATGAGCCACGTATTAAATGATTGTTCTATGTACATATGTTCCCTGAAGCATTTTAAGCTCTGCTAAAAATTCTCTGCTTAATTCCAAGCATTAAGCTGGTAATTAAAGATTGTTAAATGAGTTGCTGCTCTTACAAAAGATTACCTCCATTTCCACCCAAAGAAACAAAGATAAAGTATATATTGGCACGAATGGGAGAGCGTTTTGGATTTTATTCTTTGTGGAATTCATGTTTGTTTTTCTTTGGAGCAGCTTTGGGGGACTCTGGAAACCATTGTACCACCTGCCATGTAAAAAGGGAAAAAAAAAAACCCACTTATTGAATGCAAACCATCCATCTTCTTTTCACTTTGAAGAAAACGTTCTGGAGAACATGAAAGTTTGGTCTTAATTTTTTGACATTCGAGTTGACCAAAAAGGGAATTAGGATTTTTTAAAATGTTTTTTATTATATTTCAACAAAAGGTAAAATATAAAAATGCAAAAACAGAGCGGCTTTGGAAAAAAGCTGAACCGGGGTGCAAAAGGAAGGAAAAGGGGGGAAAGGGGGAAAAAAAGAATAATTTCCAACTTTCTTTGATATAGATATAGAATACATTAATCTTTTAATCTAAATCAGGGATGTCAAACTCAATTTCATTGAGGGCCGCATCAGAGTTGTGTTTGACCTTGGGGGGCTGGGGTGGGTGTGGCCAGGGTCGTCATGGCCAGCTTGACGTCAATCGTGTCAGGGCGGCCCTGTAGCATCCCGAGTGATCTGCCAGTGAAAATGGGCCCCAATTCCATTTTTGGCTGCAACAGTCTACTGCAACCCTCTGCCAGTGAAAACAGAGCTCAGGACGGTCACGGGCGGTCCTCCCAAACTCCATTTTTGCTGGCAGAGGCACCATGGGCTGGTCCTTCACTGTTTCCAGGGCAGCCCTGCAGGCCAGATCTAAGCACCCCATGGTCTGGATCCGGCCCGCGGGCCTTGAATTTGACACCCCTGATCTAAATCAACAATAATACGCAGTATTTCTATAAACATAAGCAACTCTAATTGTCAGATTCCCCAAATTAAATGTTCATTTCTTTCAGCTTCCAATAATGATTTCCAAGGAGAAACAAAGTTTAGACAATCTTTTCTTTAATCAATGTAATCACTTTCACCATTTCAATCAAATCCATTAGCTTCACTATCCACTATTCCATTGTAAGAATTTGTAAGTCCTTCCATCAAACCTAGAAGGAAAACCTCTGATTTCACTTTATTTATTTATTTATTCATTCATTCATTCATTCATTCATTCATTCATTCATTCATTCATTTATTGGTTCAATTTATATGCCGCCCTTCTCCGGAGACTCAGGGTGGCTTACACGTTAAGCAATAGCCTTCATACTTTTGTATATACCTGCTTAATAGGGCTTTTGGCCCCCCCAAGCGGTGTTCTTTTTTATACAAAGTCAGTTTATTGCCCCCACAATCCGGGTCCTCATTTTACCTACCTCGGAAGGATGGAAGGCTGAGTCAATCTTGAGCCTGGTGAGATTTGAACTCGCAGTAATTGCAGGCAGCTGGCAGCTAAGTGCTACTTAGCAGCACTTTAGTCTGATGCACCACCAAGGCCCACTTGTACTGTTTATTTTAAGAATTCTCTGGATTAAGATACATATCTGATCTCAAGAATCTGAACATTTTTTTCGTAAGAAATACGGTTCTTTTTGGCTTTTTGTGTTACTAAATTAACTTCTTCCCATCCTGCCCCTGGGAGACAGCTGTCTCTTCTACATTTATTAACTCTTCAATCATCACAGTGTGCTTGCATGAATAACATTCCCAAGAGGAGAAAAATATAAAGCTCAGTGGGGTCTAAGCAGAAAAAAATGACTTAATAACATCCAGCTAAATGTCTTTCAGCAGTGTTATTCTATGAATGCATTCAGAACATACTCTGTTGGATAGTTTGAACAATAATCTGTTACAGAGTTCAAGTTTTCAAGCACTAATGCTGAGTGTTATTATTCTAACTTTCTGAAAAAGAATATAATACGAAGCAAGCAGCATGGAGCATGTTAGAGTAACATTTTAGGCACGGCTCTATGGGATGAACTGTTATACACGTAGGCATGGGGTCGCTTTTGAGGTTCTTGCAGGTTTAAGCTATTGGTCGTTACACCATTGAGGACCAGCTGGATTTGTGAAACCTCCTCTTTAATTAGCATCCCTCCCACAGCCACCATTTGTGGGCACAAGGAACTGGCACAGATTGTTTTGTGAAAAATATACTGAGTTCCTGGCATTAAGAAATAAGGGAACAGTTTGCCAGGACGTATGAACCCCACCGTTCCTAGATTCTGAACAGAATGCTCTTCTCCCCCCACCCCACCCCAAATATAGATGTTGAATCATTATAAAAAGTCTGGTTGAATCTGAGAGAAATGACACTGCCCAAGTCTTTGTATTAGAATGTACTAAGGTCAACCAAATCAAGAAAGATGACTAAGAGTAGTTAAAATGATCCTTAGAACCAAGTCAAATTGGCCATTTTATATGAAATTATAGTGTTTGCTACACCCAGTAAAATGTATGAAATAGATGAGGGGTAGTAGAAATAAGTGATTAAACTGTGTTTACTTAACACAATTCCAGCCAGTTTCACTTAGAATTAAATTCCTGGATCCACGTAATTTTGGAACTATAGTGCAAGTCCTGTTTTGAAGGAATTTATTTGTTTGTTTATTTGTTTATTTATTTCTCAACTTTATTATTTTTAGAAGTAACTCAAGGTAGCCAATACATCCAAATTTCCTTCTCCTATTTTCCCCACAACGACCCTGTGAGGTGAGTTGGGCTGAGAGAGTGGGACTGGGCCCAAAGTCACCCAGCTAGCTTTCATGGCTAAAGTGGGACTAGAACTCCCGGTCTCCTGCTTTCTACCCTGGTGCCATTCTTTGGGTGGGGGAGGGACAACGACAGCCATTTCAGTTGATCAATTCCATTCCAGAAGTGAGGCCAGAAAAGTCACACAGGGAAGGGCTTTATGATTAGAAAAAGAAATTCAAAACTTCAGTTATCTCATATTTAACGCAAGATAAGAATTACAAAAATTTGCTTACTTCTAAAGCTTGTTTTGATTTCCATGAAGCATTTTTGCACGAATCCCGATATGGCACCAAAGAAAAGGCTATATTTACGACGCGGTTTTTCTACGTGCCAGAAGGAATTTTAAACTGAGGAGCTCATAATTATAGGGTTCTTTCCCTTCCCACTCTGGTTTACTAACTCAATAAGTACTAATCCATGGAGATAAAAACTAAGAGCCAAATCAGTATTTATGAGCCAGCCATAATCTGTTCTAATCATATACCCATGTAAGATGAAATAATAATAATTAGTACAGATTAGCAGTTCGAACTAGCTTATTTATCAAGAGGTTGATCCATGAGAAATATGTAGCATAATTCCTGAAAAGATAGTTACTTTGTACATGCCATAGGACACTATTCAAAGCTGCATAATTTCAAGGTCCAGTAACAATTTTTGGTTTGGTAAGTCTATAATTTATTATCATCAGCACTCTCTCCCTCCCATTCGCCTCAGAAACATTTTTTTTTTTTAAATCCTAACTGGGCTCTTAATAGAGGCTGCCCGGAGATTGGATTGGATGTGCAGCTTTGCATATGGTTCATGAGTTGGAGAGTTGGAAAGTTATAAGCATAGACTGGCTTTACAACTTATTATTCCTTCAAGTACGTTGTATATAATTTCCTGGTGGCCTACATCTAGCTATAATTCTCAGCTGTAGCAGTTCCATTTTGCCGTGTAATTTGGGAATCTGGGTAAGACCATTAGAAAAGGCAGAGGCAGCGCAAAAACAATAGTTCTGAGGTCTCGGGATTATCATAATTATTCTGACATCTTAAACCCAACTAATCAATCAATCAGAATAGAATAGAATAGAGCTGGAAGGGACCTTGAAGATCTTCTTGTTCACTCCCGCTGCTCAAGCAGCAGACTCTATACCCATGATGGTGAACATATGGCACGCGTACCACCGAGCCATATCGGTGGGCATGCGAGCGTTGCCCTAGCTCATCTGGGCCCATCGGAAGTCAGGAAAGAAGCTGTTTCTGGACTCAGAAGGGCCTCCGGGGTGTGGGGAAGGCCGTTTTCACCCTTCCCAGGCTCCTAGAAAGGCTCTGGAGCCTGGGGAGGGTGAAAAACGGGCCTGCCAGGCCCACCGTGCCATCTGTCAAGTATAAATGCCTCGCTTTATATAAACTAAAGCTATATCATAAGATAAGCAAGGGTTAATATACATTCTCCTCCCTCTAAATCAATGATAGGTCAATACTTACTGTTAGCCCCGCCCATCCTGTATATAAGACCACCTCCAACTGTCATCCTTGCTCTTTCTGAATGTATTCTGTGAAAGGAACGAACATATATTAATAAATGAATTTATTTAATTATGATGAGCCTATGTCTATTATATGAGCCATATCTTCAAAACCATTGCATGCCAAAAGTGGGGGGAGCGCACGGGGTTGCGCACGCATATGCAGGGGAGTGGGGCGGCGCATCGAATTATGGGTATGGGCACGCGTGCGCATGAACCCCCCCCCCCGCTTCCCCCACTTCTGGCACACGACGGCAAAAAGGTTAGCCATCACTGCCCTATACCATTCCAGAAAAATGGCTGTCCAATTTCTTCTTAAAAACCTCCAGTGATGGATCACCCACAACTTCTGAAGGCAAGCTGTTCCATTGGTTAATAATTCCTCTATAGGACAGATCCTATCAGCAGATCCTTGGGCAATCTGAGCCTTTTGAGTTGACAGGTTTAACAGATTAACAGATTTGGAAGAGACCTTGTAGGTCATCTAGTCCAACCCCCCGACCAAGCAGGAAACCCTACTACCATTTCTGACAAATGGCTGTCCAATTTCCCCTTAAAAACCTCCAGTGACGAAGCACCCACAATTTCTGAAGGCAAGCTGTTAATTGCCCTCACTGTTAGAAAGTTTTTCCTTAATTCTAGGTTGCTTCTCTCCTTGATTTGTTTCCATCCATTGTTTCTTGTTCTGCCCTCTGGTGCTTTGGAAAATAATTGATGCCCTCCTCTTTGTGGGAACCTCTCAAATACCGGAATACTGCTATCATGTCCCCCCAGTCCTTCTTTTCTCTAGACTAGCCAACCCAAATCCTACAACCGCCCTTCATATGTTTTAGTCTCCAGGCCTTTAATAACCTTAGTTGCTCTTCTTTGCACTTTTCCCAAAGCCTCAACATCTTTTTTGTAATGTGACCAAAATTGGATGCAGTAATCTAGGTGTGGCCTGACTAAGGCATTATAAAGCGGTACTAATATTTCACGTAATTCTGTTTTTGTGCCTCTGTTTATAAAACCAAGGATTGTGTTAGCTTTTTTGGCTGCTGCTGTACACTGCTGGCTCATATTCAAGTGATCATCCACTGGACTCCAAGGTCTCTTTCACAATTACTGTTTTTGAGCCAGGTTTCACCTAATCTGTATTTGTACCATTGTTTTTTCCTGCCTAAGTATAAAATCTTGCTTTTCTCCACATTAAATTTCATTTTGTTGGATAGAGCCTATTGTTCAAGTCTGTCAAGTTCTTTTTGGGTTCCTGAGCTTGTCTTCCAGAGTAATCAATTCCAAATGAACCCAGATAAGGTGACTGGTCAAATGTATTGATGCCATTGTAACTGCTACAATTGGCATGAACCACATTTATGAGATAAAAATAATATCAACTTGAAAAGCTGAGTTATCTTAGTTGTAGCTGATTGTTGTGATCCACCAGCAGCCTGCGGAGCTAGCAGAGGAGTCGGACAGTGAGGAGGCTGGGGAGGACCATGGGCCAGTCCTGGAGTCTGGAGAAGGCCCGGATGAGGGCTCTGCATTGGAGGCAGAGATGGGGCCAGGGCCATCTGGGAGTAACGCGTGGACTCTGGAGCCTCTAGAGTCGGACAGCAGAGAGGCAGAGGAACAGGAGGAGCCTGTACGCATGCACAGAGCTGAGCAAGAGCAGCTAAAGCGAAAGGGACGACTTGGGAGTAAGGCCAGGAGATGATTGGCCCCTCCCATAAGGCTTTAAAGAGCAGCAAAGACTCTTGGACTCTTCGTAGGAAAGCAGTGTTGCTAAATCAGTTTCCAATCGGTGTCTCTTGTTTCTGAACTTCATGGGGCTTTGCCAAGAAAGGCCTTTGGCAGGGTGCCAAAGAAGATAAAGATTTGTGATAAGCCTGAAGGACTTGTTTTGGAATTAATTTGGACTAAGTGGGAATGAAGTAATTCTCAGCTGTTATAATAAAATAGGTTTGTTTGGAACTAATTGTGTCTTGTAATGACTCAGTGAGCCTAGGTCACAACACTGATACATGTAAAGGTAACGAAGCCCCCCCACCTTATAAACTCCCCTTATTAACCCCCCCTCCCATTTGGAAAACGATACTACAGTCAAACATATCCAGCGATGGCCAGCAGAAAATTCTGTTTCCTTGTGGAGTAATTTATTCTACAGCTTTTAATACTAACTTTTAATAATTTAAAAATGAAGTCGGCTTTTCAAAAATCATTCCAAGCTTTATCTTTTTTTTTTTTTTTTTTGGCTTAGGTTTTGTGAATTCAAAAAAAGAAAGAAACCCCACAATTCCAGAATATATCTTTAAAGTGCATTACCTGCAATGACTTCTTTGAAGTTGACATTTTAGTGGCAGAGAGTGCCATGTCGGATAAATATATCTTGAAGTGGGAGGGGTTTGTGTTACTGGGGCCATTATTATGGGGGGAAATATAGAAATTGAAGTACTGTTACATGAAAAGCATGATTCTGATTTTTTTAGAGCAATATTTCAAGTCAAGATGTATACATTGAAAATTACATTGTTTAAAAAAAAAAATCAAATTTCTTGTCTTTTAAATAAGTAGAGCCCTTCAGAGACCATATATTTCCTGACATAGAGATGGAGATAACTGGCAGTTTTCATTGCAGTATTTTAAAATTGCATCAAAAAAAATAAATAAATAAAGTTGCGGCTTCTGCCAGTATTTATGAATTGATCGTACAGGTTGAAAATTAAAAGACAGATGGATAGAATAGGCTTCAAATGGGAAAAATGATGGCAAGAAAAGGGTTAAGCAGACCCTTCCCTGATATTTTCATGTACCAGCCTGCCCCATTCCTTTAAAAAATCCTGTTAAGAAATAAAAGTAATGGTGATAGTGGTGGGGGTGATTATGATGATGATGTATTATGGTTACAGGAATTGGGTTGCCATGATAGCAATGTTCCAGTATTTGAGCGGCTCCTACAAAAACGAGGAGATCAAACTATTTTCCAAAGCACCAAAAGGCAAGACAAGAAACAATGGATGGAAACTAGCCAAGGAGAGAAGCAACCTAGAACTAAGGAGAAATTTCCTAACGGTGAGAGCAATCAATCAATGGAATAGCTTGCCCTTCAGAAGTTGTGAGTGGTCCATCATTGAAGGCTTTCAAAAAGAGAGTGGACAACCATTCATCTGAAATGATATATAGGATCTCCTGCTCGAACAGGTTATTAGACTAGATTCTAGAAGACCTCCAAGGTCCCTTCCAACTCTATTGTTCTGTGTTCTATTACTACTTTGTCCACAAACAATGAATAGTTGCTTACATTGCTTTCTATCTCTACCTCAGCCCTAAGAGAAAACTAAATGTCTCAATCCCAAACTTTCCACCAAATGTATTCTCTCATCAGATTTTATTATATTTCATGATTAGACTTTATTGTTTTCTCTAGATCATTATACCTCTCCTCAACCTGACCCCATCCATATATAATGGGCAAACCATACCATACCATCTTCCTGGCCAGCATGAGAATTGTTTAAGTTGACATTTGAACTCAGGAAGTTCACCAGATTGGACAAGTGATCTAATTATCCTTTGATTTCAGAATATCTAAAGCTGGACAAGCACTTCATGGAGTGGCTGCCAGATTTTTGCAGTGTCTCTTCTTTTCTCATACATATATTGAGTAGGTAGTAGGTTTAGTAGGTACTATTTTACTTACTGATTGGAGTTTAATTCTGAAGCCAAGATTGAAAGTCAACATCCTCTTATTTTCTCTGAAAATAAACTGCCTATTGTCAGTGGGTCATCATTTCTGTTATTTCAGATGCACAGCGATGATCAAAACACACGATTTCCCATTTAAGGTTGTTATTTGTAGAAATCTATAAGCAAGACATATGAAACAGCAGAAGCTTCTATATTCAATGCTTATTTTTTAAAAATACTCTCATATCGTATGTGACGTAGGGATATCTGTTATGTAATGCCTATAATTAAAACCGAGGTTTGGAGTGTTGTTAATCCAAATGTCACAAGTGACAGTATTTTACAATCAATGAATCATGACTGATACCTTGCAGAATATGGAAGCTGAATATTCTTTTTAATTGAACGAAGATGATAAGCTGTGGTTCTCAAGATAGTTATTGATTTATTCCATTTATATAGCTATCCATCTCGTGTTACACGATTCCAGGCAGCTTACAATAAAAATAAAAGCAAAAACACAAGATGCATAATATAAATCCAAAATAAAAAATGCAGCAGCCATGGACAATCCAAGCTATCCATACAACCAGAAGATGGATTCTAATCAATATCTAGAGCCCCAATAGAGTTCAAGCCAATCTAATCTCAGAGGGAATGATATTCCAAAGGAGTGGGGTGCCATGCTAGAAAAGGGTCTCCTTTGGACCCCACCAGTTAATACTCTGTAGCTGACTGTAGCCCTTCCTGGCCAGATCAGATAGGGTAGGTTAAAACAATGCTAAGTACACCTTCCAAGGTTCCCTGATTATCCACCACTGTTTATAATGGCCGAACTGTCAGCAACCATAATTCAACGGCATCTACAAGACCATAGATTTAGAATGACATTGTAAGTCATTGCACATTCAACCTGTAGGGTGTCTTCTAGGCAATGCTCCAGCTTGATGCCACTTCTATATGTGATGGACTCACTTCTATAATAACTAATGTCATTTTGACTGAACATTTTAGGAATTAAAACAAAATACTTCTACCGTAGAGTGTGCTAGATTGTGGAACGCTGCCCTAGGATCACTCCATGATATGATCTTAAAAAAATAGCAAAGATTTGGGGCAAGAAGTGCCATATAGAAAAAGAAAATGGTTAATCTGCTCAACATTCCAGATAGGAATTATATTTTATTTTATAATTTATTGTATTTTGTTATATCTTTTATAAGGCAGAAATCTTGAAGAGAGAAAAGGTTTGGCACTGTTACATATTAAAACAAGCTCTATATTTCTAGAAGCCAAAGGAACAACTTAAATACACATTTATTCTAAATTGATATAGTTATGCAAAATTACCACAGAAGAAAAATATTATGTACATTTACATAATGAACTAATTAGTGATCATCTTAAACTGGTTCTCAAGAGTATTGGGGGGGAAATACCCCAAATATCTGAATAGGCATGGATTAGGGGTTAAATGTGATCCTTGGGCTACAAACTGTAAATTGGATAAGAACACCGGTGTCAAACTCACCGTGTAACATTGTTGTCATGTGACATATTGCGACATTTTCCCCTTTGCGGAACTGGGGTAGGTGTGGGCTGCGCATGACGCATCCGGCCTGCGGGCCACCAGTTTGACACACCTGGATTAGAAGGAGCAGTGGTACAGATGAGTGTACACAAAGCATACTAGAAAAAAGTCCCGTGTGTATTAACGGCTTCCTGCATTGTCTCCTGTCCAATTCATTCACTGTTTTTATACTGCTTTCTGAAGGACCCTGTTGCTTCTTGGTAAGAAAATATTGGAAGCTGCCTTTTCCATCTGCCCATTTTTTCCCTACATCTTTCAATTTTTCCAAGCAGGAACTTTGTCTGGAGATGTCAAGGAACTGAATCTTGGAATTTTATGCATGCAAAGCCATTGTTCTGTCACTTAACTCTAATCCTAGATACAATCAATAATAGAACCAATAACAGATTGTGCATCACAGTTGATCTCCATCCAGTGTAGTGTAGTGGGAGTCCTTTTAGATGTCTACAGTCTGTTCCAGAGGAATGCCCTACTGCAGACCAGATTTCTGTATAGATTCAACCATCACTATCCAGATCGGGGTATCAAACTCAAGGCCCGCAGGCCGGATCCAGTCCATGGGATGCTTAAATCTGGCCCATCGGGCTGTCCTGGAAACAGTGAAGGACCGGCTCGTGGTGCCTCTGACAGTGAAAATGGAGCTCAAGAGGACCACGGGCGGCCCTCCCGAGCTCTGTTTTCACTGGCAGAGGATTGCAGGAGGTTGTTGCAGCCGGAAACAGAGCTTAGGAGCCCATTTTTGCTGGCAGAATGCTCAGGCCCCTAAGGCGCCCCTGACCCAAGTGACATCAAGCTGGCTATGCCCACCCTGGCCATGCCCCTCCTCCCCAAGGTCAAACACAATCCTGATGTGGCCCTCAATGAAATCGAGTTTGACACCCCTGATCTAGATGATTTAAACTATCATCTCCAGGTAACTTTGCCCATTGGTTCCCTGCTTCCTCATCAGACAAGTCATTATGGTAAGAATTCTAAAAAATACAAAGTTTGAAAACTGAAAGGTTTATTTCAGTTCATTTATTTGGGAAGCCTGCCATCTTTTCTCCTTCAACTCTTATGGACTGGCAACCTTCATTCTTCATCTCAAAGCATTCCCAATTCCTTCTTTCTGTACCCAAAGCTAATCAATAACAATGACTTTAAATCCTATTATATTAGGATTTGACTACATTGTATGTTTGCCAGTATTCATAATTAGATTGCCATATGATGCGAGCTAAATTAATTCCAGGGATGCGGTAAGGAACAGCTCGTTTTCTCTGTGCTTTAAAACTGTTCCCTATTGTTGATTAACTGCCCATCTCAGTTTTGACATGAATTGACACATAGACCTATTTTTAAATGGTCAGCTGCATTAACAGTTTAGTTGTTTCCTTGCTCTCCTTCAAAAACTCTTCCTAGTTAGAAATCTGGATGATGAAAATGCCTCTGGTTTTATTATTAAATGCTCATATTCATATATCAAGTACAGATCATACCTCTTTTTCTGAAGCCAACTTGTAATCATCGTTAAACAAACCAGGTCAAGGACTATATCTCTGTTCCTCTACTTTGATTGAACAGCTTGAATCCATAACTACAGTAAGTGTTTTGAGGAGAGCTCTCCCGTCACCAGAAGACAGGTTTATCTCATGAGAGGGAATATGCTTGATCAGTGCGGTATCATTCATTACATGAGCAGTGTTCAAATTGAGAATGGCAGTTAAGGTGCTGAGGGATCTGTGCTTTCTCTCTAGCACCTGTTCATCCCCCTGACAGAGAGAGCTATATTTGTTAACTCATAACTGGCTTTACATTTGTATTTACATTTGTAAATATATATTTAACGTGGGTGTATGGCATCCTTCTGGACCACCCATAACAGTTTGGAATTAATGCAGTTTTATGGTATCTCTGCTCCTTCCTGAGCAGACCATTACAGTCAGTGTGTGTTGGGGAGAAGAGGTTGAACCTTATGGCGTTTCTGTCTGGTGCAATGCTGTTGCCGTTGTGACCCAGGCCCATGTTGTGGCTCCGTTGTCTGAGCCTGGGCTATCGACAGATGCAGACTCTGAGAGTGAGGGAGAGGAGTTGGCAAGGCATCCCTCTCTAGGACCCTCCTCTCTGGCAATGCCTCCGGAGGACACCGAAGGCCAAGAGATAGACCCAGAGTCAAGCATGTCCCCGCAGACACAGGTGGACAGCGACGAAGTAGATAAATGCTGGCTGGACCCTTGGCAGAGGCGCAGGGAGAAGCGTGCGCAGCAGAGGGGAAGGCGTGCCAGAGATTAGCTGAGTCACTGGACCACACCCCACAGGGTATAAATGTGGGTGTGGTGGCCAGTTCAGTTTGTGACGAGCAAAAACTAGAAACAATCCATGATCTCTGCGTTACTGGACTTCTGCCTGCCTTGTCGGACTGCATTTGGACTAATCCTTGTATTGCGGAAACTTTGCCTGCTTTATCGGAATGCTTACAGTCTAATCTTTGTTTTGTGTGAGTAAAGTCTGAATTGGCAGCTAGCCACTGGGTTGCTGCCAGCTTTATCTTCAAATATTTTGTCGTGTGGCTTATTAACTCCGGGCCGTCTGTGGAGGTGCGTGTGTGGGACGGGGACAGAACAGCCCAAGTAGTTAGTATTAAATACAAACAGTTCGAAAACAAACAGACTTTAATAGAACAGCTGAGAATTAACTCGTTCTCAGCATAGTCCAAACTAAATTAAAGCAAATTCTTCAAAACACCATTCCTCAGTTTATCACCGACCTTGGGATAATTAGGCAAACTGCCAAAGGCTTTTCTTGGCATGCATACCAGCCTGCCACTCATGAGATGAACTGCACACCCGTGCCGGCCTGCCACTTGCATAGCTCGGTCCCCCTCTTCACTGCCAAGCTGCAAAGGTTGGGGACCGCTGACTTATGAGTCTATTTACTCTGAACAGAATCTGCCTTTGCAAGGAATGCCCGAAGAAAGAGCTTGCAGAAAATCCAGAGTCCCCAATGAGATGCAGTGAGTGGGAACTCGGAGGTGGGCATTCATTGCAGAAGCCCCCACCAGATGCAAGATCACTAAATGAACTGTTGTAAGTCGAGGGCTACCTGTACTAACTTGCAGTGATTCACTTTACAACTGTGGCAAGAAAGGTCATGAAATGGGGCCGCAAAACTCACTTAGCAACCATGTTACTTAGCAACAGAAATTTTGGATTCAATTGTGTTCTAAATCGAAGACTTACTTGTATTATGACTATATGGTGATACCGCTGTCAGCTGCTTAGAATCAAAATTGATTTTCACACCCAAATAGCATGGGAAGAAAACATGCCAATATGCTTTATTGCCTTAGGCAAAGCAACAAATGAAATCACACCCCTCTAAGTCACAGTAATACTGAAAGCTGATTAAGTCTGCATCTGAGGCACAAGATTCCACAAGCGCTCATTAGTCTTTCACGCTGCCAAAGGGTAAGACCTAATTCAATAAATGTATGGGTAAAAAGAGATGGTATAAATTGTCACAAAGCCTCAGCAGAAAGAATGTTTCACTGCCTGCCCTTCCCTTTCTGCATCACAAACAAAAGTGCATGCAATTATGCCTTTCAGTGCTTCATTCTCTGAAGAATTATGGGCCGGGTAGCCATGGAGTCTGCTTGTATCATAGTAGAGTCACCTGGGAAGGCAGCCTTCAGGCCAAGGCATTCAAATCTGGTGGGTCTTCTGAGATAGATAGATAGATAGATAGATAGATAGATAGATAGATAGATAGATAGATAGATAGATATCCTGTTTCCCTGAAAATAAGACATCCCCTGATAGTAAGCGCAATTGGGCCTTTGAGCGCATGCGCTAAAATAAGCCCTCCCCAAAAATATTTAAACGCATGCACAACCGGTCCCCGCCATTCCTCTGATTAGGGTTAGGGAGACAGAGCTGGAAATCAGGTATGATGGCAAGAGGAACCCCATCTTGCTCCACGCACCCCAACATAATAAGACCTTCCTGAAAATAAGGCCAAGCGCTTATTTCGGGGTTCAAAAAATATAAAACAGGGTCTTATTTTTGGGGAAACACAATAGATAGATGATAGATAGATAGATAGATAGATAGATAGATAGATAGATAGATAGATAAATAGATAGATAGGGTAGGCAGGTAGGTACGGTAGACAGGTAGGTAGGTAGGTTAGTTATTGGCCATCATTTTACCATGGGATAGCTCTGGGTGGCTTACAATATTAAAAAGATAAAACTATACAAATAAAATACTACTAAAGTACAATACACAACTCTAGCCAAAAGATGGGAGGGGGAGGGGGGATATGCTATTAGTCTATCAACCACCCCCAATGTGGAGCGCCCTTCCCTTTGGAGCCCCAAGCCAAATGGCGGAGCCAGGTCTTTTAAGCTATTTAAGAGCCATGGTGGCAGTGTGGTTAGAATGCAGTACTGCAGGCTACTTCTGCTGACTACTGGTTGCAGTTTGGCAGTTCGAGTCTCACCAGGCTCAAGGTTGACTCAGCCTTCCATCCTCCTGAGGTCGATAAAACGAGGACCTAGATTGTTGGGGGCAAGATGCTGACTCTGCAAACCGCTTAGAGAGGGCTGTAAAGCACTGTGAAGCGATATATAAGTCTAAGTGCTGCTGCTTTGCGGAAGGTCAGGAAGGTTGGAGCCAACCTCACTCTAGGGGGCAAGATGTTCCAAAGAACAGAGGCAATATTATGCGGCACTTGCCACAGTAAGCTACTGCACCCAGTTGGCAGGTGCTAATATTCCTGTGTGGTCTGTATGCAATATATGATCAGAAAAGCCATGACGGCAGCCATAAAGGTACAATGAAAGCTCCATCCAAATTCCTTGGGTGGAATATTTATAAAAACAGGTGAAGTTGCAGGAGCAATTTTTGTGGTCCAGTTTTGATTATTCTGACCGTACTCTGTGGACACCTCTATCCCTGTGAAGCCTGAGTGTCTTATCCATTACTTATGGCAACAGATTAGGTTCAGTATAGCTGACATATGGAATGCAGATTAGTTAATATTGGCTATGATGGCCATGTGGAACCTTCAGATATTAGTAGGACTATGCCACTAAATGCCATGAAGGATAGAAAACATGTTTCCTTCATGCCCCAGTCGTGGGCTTCCTGGAAGCATCTGCCAGGAAACAAAAGGTTAAACAAGATGGTGACCAAAACTTACAGGTTTTTTTTAAAAAAAAGTAGGAAGTATTTTAAAAAACCCTATGAAATAAAATTCAATTGCCTTGGATTAAAATTGTGAAACCAAATAAGTCTCATTCCGCGTTTGGATATGAATTGCTAGCACCTCACTTAAAATATACTGGAGACAGTTTTGCATATCCCCTGTTAATCATGCTTCAAAGTTTCACTTGCTAGTTTGTTCCTGAAATATACTGAAATTCAGGTAAATGGCAATGGCCTAATCTTTGTAATGATTACTAGCTAAATATGTTTTTACCTTGTGTTTTTCTGCCCTCTTGTGGCAAAGAATATTTTTAAAACTTTAAATTTTAAAGGAATGATTATGAAATATTCAATATTAGCTAGCATAGAGTAGTTACATAGAAGGATAAAGGATAAATTTATCTTATAAATAATTATTTCTGATTAATATTATTACTTTGAGCATTAATGTTATAGCCTAATAAATACTCATTGAACAGATACATATTTATTACAATTTGCTTCACTTGTAAATATGCTGCATAGAACAGTATGTTACATGTGTTTTGTAAAGGAAAATGCAGTCCTAATACAGGTAGTCCTTGATTTACAACCGTTCATTTCATGATCATTCGAAGTTACAAGGGAACTGAAAAAAGTGACTTACTGTCGTTTTTCACACTTACGACTGCTGCCATGGTCATATGATCAAAATTTGGATGCTTGACAAGTGGTTCATATTTATGATGGTTGCAGTGTGGCAGGGACGTATGATCATCTTTTGTAACGTTCTGACAAGCAAAATCAATTGGAAAATTAGATTCACTTAACAGTCTTGTTGTTATTATTTTAATAACTACAGTGATTCCATTAATAACTATGGCAAGAAAGTTTGTAAAATAGGGCAAAAGTCACTTAACAATAGAAATTTTTTTGCTCAATTGTCGTTTAAGTGTCATTTTTTTTTGTCATTTTATTTGATTTATATACCGCCCTACTCCCGAAGGACTCAGGGCGGTGAACAGCCACAAGATAAAACACCTAAATACAAAATTTAAAAGCAAAGTAAAACTGAATTAAACAATTTGGCCCAAGACAGATTTAAAACACCCCAATAATTTAAAACAGATTAAAATTTACATTTTCAAAAGGGAAAAAAGGGAAAAGATTAGTGGAGGATGACCTGTAATTATTTATTTCTAAACTGCCCAGGTAATGAAAAATATGGAAAATTGATTAAATAAGTGTTCTTATTGCATTCAGAATAAGACTACTATATAAATGTAAAACTAGTAAGATGTAAACATAAAGAGTTGCAGTTTGAAAAACCATTTGAGCATCTGGATTTACCTGCTTAGTGCAGAAAGTCAATTTATCTATTTATTCCATATAAATGGTATCAACGGAGAGGTAGGCAAAAATGTCAAGATGTGATTGAACTCCCACTCTTTACATGCGTTAACATGCATTGCACATCTAAAATACTTTGGGGTTTAGACCAGCAAGATTTGGTGTTTACTCTTGGTAACTCCTTATTTTCAGATGCACACAGTTTGACCTGTTTATGGTTTCCTTTAGAATCTTTTGGGGTTTGTTTTTTTTACCTGTGTTAGGACTTTGGTATCCTCACTGAACAGCTAATAATGCTTGTCTGGTTGGTTTGTTATGGTACTCATAACACAATTCCAAAGGACCCTAAGCAACATATGATAACATGAGCAACAAAATCAAAACAAAAAGAATAAATAAACAATTTAAGATTTCTTTCTTTTTTAAACTTACAGGTACTACCTGCCAATTCCAGTGGACTCTGGGCAGCATATAATTACAGAAAGCCAAGATAACAAGACTATATTCATAGTCAGTTTGGACCCAACATGCATTGAAATGGCAGTTTTAACCACAATTGCAGCAAGTTGTGTATACTTATGGGAGTATTTTATATGATGGAGGCTATTACAAATATTTTTCTTTTTTTCTTTATTTTGAATATACCTAACATATCTAGACCTTTTTGTTGTTCTAACAGAAGAGAATATATGCAGTTCAGGATTGAACTATGGCGTCCTTGATGCCCTCTTGAGTTTAGTTGTTTGCTTTCAGATGTTTCGTTAGCAGACTAGGTAATATCATCAGTACTGTGGAGTTTGTTCCCTGTTTATATATAAGTACCAGGGATGAAATGCTCCCGGTTCAGACCAGATCGCCCGATCCGGTAGTGATGGCAGCAGGTGGTTCGGAGAACCGGTAGCAAAAATCTCTGCCCCCTCCCATGCCCAGCTGAGCCGTGCAATCATCAGAGGCTTTTTTTTTATTATTTTTAAAAGCATTTTTTCTACAACCTCTTCGGCCAAAAAAATGCTTTTAAAAGTAAAAAAAAAAAAAAAAAGCCTCTGACGATCGCGCGGCTCAGCTGGGATCGTCAGAGGCTTTTAAAAGCATTTTTTCTACAACCTCTTTGGCCAAAGAGGTTGTAAAAAAAATGGTTTTAAAAGTTAAAAAAAAAAAGTTGGCCACGCCCATCCAGTCACATTACACACACACACACACCAAGCCATGCCCACAGAACCAGTAGTAACAAATTTTACATTTCATCACTGTATAGTACCTTGCCCTGCCAGTGTTAGTGGGTTGTGAATGTCTCTCTGAAAGTTTCTTTATTAGGATCTGCTAGTCTTCCGTAGGACAAACAAGATTTGCTAGTCTTCTACAGGACAGAAAGGCAGAAGATAGCAGAGCACATCCATGAACAATATAATGAAAACTTTTAATCTCACAACACACGGATACACTCAATCATAATTTTAACTAGAAAACTGAGTATCTTAGACTGAGCTAAATAAAACATTAGGGAATTCCTGGAAGTCGGCATTCAGACAAATCAACCACCAATACACACATACAGTATAGTCCATATTTACGCACTATTCAAAAGAGACAATTAAAAAGCTAAGAAAGAAACAAAAAGGAAACATCCTCTCCAGCAGTAATATCCAAATAACCAGGGATTACACCACACAATCTAGCAAAAACCAATACCCTAATCAAGAACTATCAAGAAGAAAAGTAGACAGACACCCTTGACCTGCCAACACTGGCAGGGCAAGCTACTGTATATTAAAAACAGAGGAAACCCCACGCTTACTAGCACAGAAGATGTTAAATAATCAAGCTCAGAAAACACCAAGGACCCCCACATTTTCTGTTATTCTTAGCCTACTTCACTAACCTTGATCCATTCACATCTCTTTCCTGACACCACCCCTATAGAGCTGAACTGTAGACAAATACTGTCTACAGTATTTGCAGTCTGCTTATCTTTCCATATCCTAAATTATTTTTAAAAGTAATATACAAAAAGTTTTCCAGACTAGCAGATTCCAAGGTAAGTTGGACTACAATTCCTTGCATTCCTCAACTTATAGTATATTTTACTGTACACATAGTCGTTGACATAGGACTACTGTACAAACGTACAGTTATTCATAGCTTATGTGACATCATGGGATAATTCTCATTCTGTATTCATCTTATTTGCAAAATAATTAAACATTAACTTATTTACAATTCATATTAGGGCACTACCTTGATTAGGCAAATTTTAGCTCTTAAACAACAAACAATCTTTCAACATATCCATAATGTCTAATCAGTGAAGATGATTTTTAAAAAGATGACAGGATATGTAGAGTGTGCTATTCAAATAACAGAGCTTGCATAAATATGTAATAATTGTGGGTTTTGAAAGTTATTACTATTATTGTGGCTTTCCTCCTACCAAACAACCTGATTAATTCATGTAAAGATTTAGATGAATTCCAGGTAGCTGCTGGACTTTTTTATTTTCAACAGTGATGGATGAACCATTATTTGTTTATTCCTCTTGGAATCATCTTCATTTTGGTTTTTTCAACCTAGGAAGGATTTCAGGTGCAACTGGTACCATTCTACCATCAGACAGTCCAATTTAAATGTATGGGGTTCTCCTGTCCCAAATTTCTCCCTCGATGCCACTGCCGCAACCACCTAGCTGTGATCAGTAGATTACTCTCTAGATGTATGCCTCTCATTGTGACATTTATTCTGCCAACGAATATAACATGAGCTATGTTCCTGGAGCCAACATTGCATGCTTTATGCAAAAGAGAAAAGAAACAGTAAACTTAGGGCTGAAAAACATGGGGGAATTCCCCCACTCCCCAAAGCAAAATAGTTTCCCAATATTCTACTTGAAAGAAATCACTTTCAGTCCCTTCCTCCTTCTCTCCAGATAGCCCAACTGTGTTTAGGATTCTAAACTTACATGAGTGAACAGAATAAACAGATGAACAAAATGCTGACCAAGAGGGGAAAAATAAATATTTGGACTGGATAAATTAAATGAAGCAGAACAAACACCTGCACAGAGAAACAGAGAGCACCACATTAAAACTGGATTTTGGAACAGAGATCTCACTTGGAATCAGTAAAGTGTCCAAATGCAAGCAGACTGGCTTAGTTAAATGAAATAATATTCATTACCATCTGTAAACCACGAAAGAGGGTTTTATTTTAAAAAAGGCAACCAGACTGATTTTTTTTTTTTGAGGAAGAAGACATTTCACTTCCTACCCTGGAAGCTTCATCTGTTGCATTGGATGCTTGGAAAATGGAAGGTCAGTTATTGACAGTTGAGATTAGTTGGGGTGGGGTGAGAGGTTCTAACAGGATGGTGGTGGTGGTGAAATGGAAATATTGTGTTTTGTATGCAGTCAACTGGTCTTAACACTGAGAGCCATTGTGGTTACTTGGGGTTTTGTCTGTGACCTCAGGGTCACCTGAATCAGTAGTGTGGAAACTTCTTGGAACAGCCAAAAGGGCTGAATTGTAAATTGGGGATACAGTAGGTGACATCTTATCACTCCTCCTCTATTGAGAGAGGGCTGCTCAATGTTAACATAAATCACCTCTATTACCCCTCTTTCAAACCTCTGCTTTCATCCATGCTGATGCTGCCAATAAACCATAATGCCTTTAATCAGGCTGCCCCCAAAGGTGTCCTTGCTGCACCAGAGTCCAAGGTATGTAATTGCTAGTGGATTCTGCATAAAGCCATTATTTGTAGTCAAGGAAACAGATTTTGAATATAGCTAATGCTTATTCTCTGTAATCATTTGCCAGTTTTGAGGACAGACACCCACAGTATCCGATTGTTTCATTAGGGTGAGAGAACACACATGGGTTCCGTACATGGGTGTTGCAAGGAAAGTTCTGCCAGCTTGCATATTGCATCACATGTACAAAAGGGGTGGAACTTCCAAGGTGAAGCTGCAAATCTTGATTAGTCATTTGGTCCCTTTGCAGATGCTCATATATTCAACCAACTCTGCCTTAAGACAACCAAGGACTATGTACTTCATGTGCATAGCTGAGCGTGTCTTAACCATAGATATGTAATTAGCATAGGCACAGATGTGTTAATCTGTGACAGTGGTGTTGGAAGAAATATCCTTCTGGGTTAGCTCCAAGTGGGGAAAAAGACACTGGAAACATGGAGACTGTTTGGAAAGATGGTTTAATGGTGGACAGGATCACATGGCTTGAGTTCCTGAACAGAAAAAGGGTGAGATACAGCAAATCCCCGGGTTTTATGCTCTCTCTGGCTTTGAACTTCCTGGGGCCCCGAAAGAGTATCCTGATTGGTTGTCAGACTTCCAGGGAGTGGGGGTCTTATTTAGCCTTGCTGGCTGATGTAATCTTCCCAGGTGCCATGTGGTGAGTTTCTGTTCTAGATGGGTCCCATTGTCTTGCAGATGAGGTCCATTGACAAAGATTGAGTTTCTGCCTCTGGCCCATTAACAAAGGGGGGGAGGCAGGAAGGTGGGAGTTGCTTTGTCTTTAAAACATGTTTCTCCATTTCTCAACCAGGGAAACATAATATTCTGTCTTTTTAATATTTCCTAAAATATTTCATTCTTCTAGGAAAGGGGTGGGTGCTAACTTCCTACAGTGGAAACAATATACTATTGCCATATCCTCAAGACTAACATTTTATTACTTAAAAGTCATGTTGAGACAATAGCTGAGTATTAAGTTGATGGAAGATTTGCATTATCGACTCTCAGCATGAATTTGAGTTAGGTCAAGGAAAGTTTTAGGTGTTCTACACGTTTCCAACTGGCCTCCCAAGTTTTCCCAAAATGAGCCTGGTTGTTTTTCTCTATGACACCCACAATTATACGATAATTATGATTTATGATTTTCTTTGCTGCAACTTTGTTCATCTCAGTGATGCCTTAATTTCCGTTGAGTGGAAACCTGGGCTAGACCAACTTACCCCTGCAACCTTAAACTACAATTGTATCTTCTTATAGTTTCGTAAGAAGAAAGAACCCAATGTTGGGTTCACCCCACCCCTCCCCTCCCCTCTCTTGTCCCTTTTTGCTGATAATTCAGTACAGGCTTCATCAACCCATGTGGGCGGGGCCTTCCTCCTTCCCGTATCTCACTGCGCAGGCGTCCCGCTCAAGCAACACTCCGGCTCTCGGGATGCGTGCGCACCTGAGCTGTTCCGCCTCCCCGCCTGTTGCTGGTTTGGCCGCCGCTGACGTAGCGCCTTCCTTTCTCTTTCCCCACCCCCGCCGCCGCTTCGGCGCTCCCTGCCGCCTCACCGGGAAGACTCCGCCACCGGCCAATGGCGGCCGCTCGGCTGTGAGCACGGAGGGCGTTAGGCATGGCCGGGCGGCGGGGCGCGGGGGGCGGCGGGGCGTTGGCGGTGGGTCCCTTGGGGGAAATGCTGCAGCAGTCGCCTTCGTGCTGCGT